AAAGAATGATACATCAATGGAGACATAGTACTTGCGAGAGGTAGGATCATAGCAACGATACCCCTTTTGAGATAAAGGGTAACCAAGGAAAACACAAGGAATAGCCCGAGGATCAAGCTTACCTCGAGTAGGGGACAGGTTATGGACAAAGCAGCAACACCCAAAAACACGCATCGGAATGGTGGACAACGAAGCTGTAGGAAACAAAAGCTGATGTGGGGCCTCATACTCTAGCAACCGAGACGGCATACAGTTGATGATGTATGTAGCACACAAAACGGCATCCATTCAAAAACGTTTTGGCACATTCATATGAATTAATAAGCCACGAGCCACTTCAAGAAGGTGACGGTTCTTTCGTTCAGCAACACCATTTTGTTGGGGTGTCCTGGCACAAGAGCTTCGCTGAAGTGACCCACTTGAAGCAAAAAACTCCGTGAAAACACTATGGAAGTATTCTTTCGCATTGTCTGACTGGAAGATATGGATTTCAGTTTGGAACTAAGTGAACACCATGCATTGAAAGTCTTTTACAATTTTCGGCACTTCATCTCGAGATCGCATAGGGTAAACCCAAGTGTATCTAGAGTAATCATCAATCAAGGTAACAGGGCCCCAAACATCAGAATAAACAATATGAAATGGAAATTCAGATCTTTTATTTCTCAAAGGTAAAGAACTTCTATAATGTTTACTCAATTGACATGTCTGACACTGTAACTGACTCATTGACAATGACTCAAACAACTTTGGAAACATAACTTTTAATGACTCAAAAGAAAGATGACCTAGACGACTATGCCATAAATAGGCTTGACTCTCACTTGACAAACTCATGGACTCTATAGCCACAAGACCAGCTTTATTCTCCAACATATAGAGACCATCCACCATGCTCCCTCTACCAATCATCTTCCCCGAGGCCAAATCCTGAAACACACATGAAGACGGAAAAAGTGACTGAATCAAGGAGTGAACACATGAAGACGGAAAATAAGTATCGTATTGGCTGATACGATACTTATCAGCCAATACGGCCCAATACATATCAAAATTTTGAACATTGGTCTGTATTGACCATTCATTTGATCTTTTGCCAGTCTCTCTGAACTTCTTATTGGAAAGGACTTCAGAGTTTTGTGTGGGGCCAAACAACTCTACTTATTGTTCATGGGTTATGTTGACTACCTTTGGAAGGTGACTTTTAGGTTCACAAGAGATATTATAGATGACAAGGGAGTCACTAGAGTGGAGGGTGTTCTTAGAAGATATTGTAAGGAAACTCTATCCATTATGATGACAAATAAGGAAGCACTTCCGGCCATTGTCGAAGTATGATTAACCTCTCTACAAATGAGTCCTATCCCCTTTGAAGGCTTTGCAGCATCAAAAGGTACTTCAATTTGAAGAAATTTACCTTTGTTTCATTGTAAAATGATTGGTTATGTTCATACAAGTAAACAAGATTTTGCACCTGTATATCATCATCACCACCACCACTACCACTCATACCTTCATTCCACATGCTCTGAAATGGTTGTTGTTACTTGTTACATAATGAGATGCTTTGTCTTGAGCAAGAAACACTAGATCGGGATTCATGAGAAAATATGCCAAAAGATTGCAGCTTGCAAAGCAATACAATCCCCCCCCCATCTGGAATTGTGGACTAGGAATGCCAAGTAAAACTCAATACTGGCAGAGTTATAAATGTGGTAACTATCTGCTAATAGAAGTTATTACAACCAAAACCTAAGTGTGGATTTTGAATTGTCTACAGACTTACTGGTTTTCTTTTAGGTGGACATGAAGAAGGTGAAATCAAGGTTCAAAATTTCAATACGCATCAGGCCTACTGGCGGATACATATTGTATCGGTGGCTTCCCAATACGCCCCTACAGGGGGTGTTTCAGGGTCTGACCTGGTTCAAGGGGTAGATGGGCCTTAAACCAGCCCCTCTGAACCAGTTTCAAAGAAAAACTAAAAATACATAAAAGGCGAGCAAAGATACAGGTCAACACGCCCCTACCAGCATATCGGCCTGTATCGATATTTTGAACTTTGGGTGAAATGAGAAGTGTGCATGACCAGGTAATTATCCAGCCTATATCAGTTTTGGGAACATGGAGATACCTTTTTTCTTTACAGAACATGTTTGTTTACTGAGAATGCAATGTAAGGCAATAAGATATTTATTTTAATTGACATATTCATAATGACTTTACTCCATTACAAGCCAAAGGACATGACTAAGTGGTTTAAGAGCATTTTGATCTACCTGATTACATTTTATGCAACAATGGTACGAAAGTGTGTGTCAGCATGGATTGCATATGTTGGAAAAAACTAAAATGTAAAATACATCTATACAGTTCATTTCCTGTATTGCAAAATATGCTTATGATTTAGTTGTGCACTAAAGAAAAAGAAAACACCTAAAAAAGTGGTTATATACAAGAACAAGTATGTTAAAGTTTTGAACCAGAGATATATATGATGAATTTTATCTACTTAGAAGTGTCTAACATCTATCTTCTTTCAAAGGAGAACATTGGACTTCTGACACATATACTACTCCAAGTAATCTCAAAAAGAAAAAATTATCAGCCTCTTTATCAGAATGAGCATTTGCTTTGTCAAGAAAAATAATTAACCCCAGAAAGCTTATTCTTTTGAGCTGCCTTTGATCTGGTCCTAACATTAAAATAAGGGTTTCATCATCATCTAAAATTCAACTAATAAAAGTAACATGACAATTATATGGGGTATGGGGTTAGCTACATAAATCACATATGGGGTTATCATCATCAGCCTTATCCCAACTATATGGGGTTTGCATTTCATGTTTCCTTCTTAGAAAATAAAATTCAACTAATAAAATTAATATAACAGATAAATAACAGTGCACCCTCTTTCTAACTCCAAAGGAACCTAAATTAACTGAAAATGAACAGCTGGATTACATATTCATACATGTAGACCAACGTCTCCTATCTTATGGTGATGCAATTAAGCAGTTGAAGTTCTCCCATTTTGGAACCTGCTCCTATATTTGACTCAGCAAAGAAAAAGGGTGTCGGACTGCTCCTAGATTTTTCTTGTTGAAAAAAAAGCATAGAGTCTGGTAGTAATCAAATCCAATCCAACCTAAAGATTATTTTATTACTAATGCATAGATTGCAAAAACACTGAACTGGCTGACTGTGTCCGGATTTATGTCGTGGTCATGATGGGTGTAAGGACTTCCGAAAGTTGGGTTGGATTGCTGTCCTATTGTCCTGTTGAAGAGAAGGAGCGAGAAAATTGGAAGCTTGGAAGGCTATCGTTTACTGTATACATGAGGTCATACCTGCAATTCAGAGGCTCTCAAACCTCAAATATAATCATTCTTCTTACAAATTCCACACCACTCGATATAGGCGCTTGACTTCTATTTCGTTTATGTTTGAGAAAGGCGGGCTTAGCAATGGCAATAGAGATGGTAGAGGCATTGTGTTAAGTTTGATTATTGCAATATTGATGAATGCCTGATGAGTGCTTGTATGTTGTGAGCCTACGGACTATGGCCAAGCCCTACTGCGCGTCGTCTTCGGCTTGTTGATGGGTGTCGGACTGAGGGAAAAAGGTGAAAAAAAAAAAAAAGATAAGAAGAGAGGGAAGAGAGGGGGAGAAGAAATAGAAGAAAATCAGTTGAAGTTCTCCCATTTTAGAACCTGCATGGATTTATTGTTAAAAACTTGTTGATAGGTGTCGAACTGAGCATCTGGTCGGTTTGAGATGAGGGAGAAAAGGTGAAAAAGAGAAAGAGAAAATAAAAGAAAAACGAAGAAGAATAATGAACAATAATAAGATAAACCGAAATAGAAAACGGTGAAAGAAAAACAATGATGAAGAAGAATCATAAATCAAAAAATAATACTTTGCTCACTCACCGCTGGCTGACCGCTGGTTATATCTTCACCTGTCGGAGTGCAAATTGAAACCCAAATGGAAAAAAAAAAACGGTAGAAATTGTAAGATACCAAAATCTTACCAACGAAAGTGCAAATATCGGATGAGATTTGAGAAAAAAGGAATACGCAAATGAAGATCTGAGACCATTAACATACCTGGGGTAATGCTCGCGTACTGCGGCGAGTCTCCTCGTTCGAGAGGAAGAGTTCGAATGAGCTACTATTTGCGTTTAAATTAGGGGCATGACATGTCATTTCAAAATTAATTGAGGTTATTTTCGACTTTGAGCAAGGTCTGAAACGCGCGCATCTAACCGCAAAAGTATTACCATTTCAAATCTGACAAAAGTGCTTCAAATCATTAATTCACGTACAAAACCAAACGCATCAAACTGTTTTTAGACCTTATATATACATCTTAAAAAATGTTATTAAAAGACCCCCCCCCCGTAGCCTTCCATTTAACTTTAACTTTAGAATTATTTTCATTTATGGGGCTTTTTTGAATTGGTTGAAGTTAACTTCGATTGTTTTGGATTTATTTGATTTATTTATAATGGAGAACTAGTAGAGACCCATGTAGTGCAGTGGATTAATGTAGGCATCTATATCTATATATATTAAAATGCAATGTGCCAAGTTGGCATTCTTCTATTCTATGTTTATTATGAAAGTCACTTATCTTGTTTATGATTTCTTTTCAAGGCACCTACACCTATCTCTTATGGTTTCTTCTCAAAGAACTATGTAGTCACTTATCTCTCTTTTTTAATTTTTTTAATTTTAAAAGTGACCAATCGCCTTTAAGAATTTTAACACTCCTAATTAAAACACCTTTCTCTCTCTCTCTCTCTCTCTCTCTCTATATATATATATATATATTCTCTTCCCCACTAACTCTTTTAAAAATATATCCTCATTAATTATGCCATTAACTCTCTCCTTCAATAACCCATGTCACTAATTCTCTGTAATCTCCATTATTCTATTAAATTGCATAATAACTTTATATATCTATCTATATACATTTCAATTTAACTATATATATATATATATATATATAATAGATATATTTTCATTAAACTATAGTTATCAGTAAAGGTTAATTATATTAAAATTGAGATATTCAAGGATATATTATTACACTAAATAATCTACTTTCATTTAAATTATAATCCATTTATATTCCATTTGAAAAAAATAAAATTTAACTAACATAATAAAAATAATTTAGTAAGTTACTTAAATAAAATAAAAATAATTATTAATTATTATTATTGGTAAAAATATTTTTATTAATATAATAGAAAGAATCCAATTAATAAAGGGAATAAGATAATTTAAAAATGAACATTAATTTAAAAATAATGTAAAATTATCTGACAATTATTAGTTTCATAATTAAATTTTATTAATTTAAAACCAAATTAAGTTCCATTAAAAATAAAAATTTATATAGTTAATTAAATTTCATAAGGAATTTAAATTTAATAAAAACTTAATATGCTTAAATAAATTCATTTTTTTACTAATTCCATAAATTAATAAGCATATTAGTTTCAGCATTGTTTAATTATTTTAAAATCAACCTAAATATCATTTAAAAATAAGAAAAATTATCAAAACCTCACTAGGTTTGCTAACAAGTCTATGAAACTCCCTGGTGTTTTGACCTTAACAAAAACCTTCCCTACTGCTTTGAAAAAAAGATATGCAAATACCTTTCTTTAGTCAACATTCGAGATAAAGTTGAAACTTTAAATTATGTATGATAATGCATTAACAATGATAATGGTATTTTGGTAATTTTAATGTCTTTGTTACCAAAGAAGCAAGGGAAAAAGAGGTATTTGCACCTTTTTTGTCAAAACTATAAGGAAGCCCTTCGTTATGGCCAGAACACAAAGGGGGTTTATAGAATTGTTATAAGAGGATTTTTTTATAATTTTACCTAAAATAATACAAAAATAATAACAAACCAATAAAAATAATAAGAAAATCTTTTCCAAGGTTAATAAAGAATAGCATTAAGATACCAAAAAATACAAAGTTATTTAAAGAATAGGAAATTGGCCACTCTTACTAAAGTGCAAGTTAGATTGGGATCAAATAAACTAGACATAACCCCCCAAAAAAAATAATATCTGAATTGAACTTAGATGGACACCATTTAATTGGAAATGTCATAGGGCTTCATCTTCAATTTTCTTAATAAATAAAGTCTATGCATCGCGTCGCACGGATCCTAACTAGTTAAATTTATTAAGTAAAGATGTTATCTTGTAATAAAATCCATGGTAACTGAGTATGGTGCCAAATACTAATTTAACTGGACCAATGGATTCAGTTTATCTTGGCCCATTTAGAATGTCGTAAAACTCTTGTGTCTTCCCTTAACTTTCTTAACAAAGTCTTGTTGAAAAAAAAAAACCTTGCTTAACAAAGTGAACCAGCCCAGTGATCGATAAATTTGAATGGTTTTGGGACTTTTACAATGAAAGTAGATTTGGGTTAATTGGACTGAGTTGAAACTTCCTTTAATAACAGATAAAAACTGACTCGGCACAATGAAGCAATTCATATTGACCATTTTTGGGTCTTTTACATTAAGTATAATTGAGTTAATTGAACATGAGTAATGCAATATATTTGGATAACTAAATTTATCGTTAAGTTGATTCCACTCGGTAAACTAGCGAGTTTGGATCATTCTTGGGTCTATTACATCGTAAGTAAATATGGGTTATACTTAGGCCCTATTAGCTTTCTGGTAAGTTATTTATCCGGGTAAATATTTTTCAAGAAAGACTTGCCTGTGTAAGTGTATTTATCTATGCTCTTTTATATCTTATGGTGCATGATCTCGTACTCCCTGCTGGAAGACAATTCAGACGTCAAACTGAGTAGGTTGCTTGGCCGAGTTGCAAAAAAAGAGGAATCAGAGTGTTCGGGATGCTTTTCCGGTGTGGGCACTCTAATGCCTAAGTTAGCGAAGAGTGTTTGAGAATTGGAAAGCAAGAGAGCTATGAATGTCGTGAGACCTAAATCGTGCGTACCTTCTATGAGAGAGGGGACGCCTTTATATAGGCATATGAAACCAAGAGCTTTACGTAACACGTCCAAGATCTCCAGGGGGGACGTGGGCAATTTCTCTCTTGGAGACAATTTCTGCATAAAGCGATAGAGCTCATCTGGTTGCTTCTGAAGCGGCGAGGCAGGAGTTATAAAAATTATTTACTATTATACATAAAAAATAAAAACATTATTATATATAATAAAATTATTTAGTATATGTATGTATGTATGTATGTATATATAATAAAAATTATTTATTTAATACTAGGCACGAGAGACGAGCTTCACTGGGCTTAAGCTCGGTTCAATTAGCAAACAAACCTATAGTTTGGGCTTGAATTCAGCTCGAAGCTCGATTTAAACCGACCCGAGCCGAGCTTGAAGAGCTCATGAAAGGCTCGGCTCGTAGCCACCCCCTAGATGGCTGACTTGGTTGACCTAGTCTTGTCCTATGATGGCCAACCTGATTCTAAGATAGCTAACCTTGCCTAGGTGGTGCCAAGATACTCAGATCATGTGAGGTGTACCTGACACATACCCGAGGTAGACTCCACTTTGGTGAAAACAGTGTTGCTGCCTATGTGGCGCCGAGATGTTAAGCAACGCTTTCAGGATCGCTACGTGGCATGATGTCATTGGAGGACCAAATCTCCCTTCAATAATTTCCTAGGTAAATAAGGTAATGACTATTTTAGCCAAAAAGATCCATTATTAAAAGGGACATTTTTGTCCTATTCAAGTGATGGCAACTTTTTTCCCTGAAAATCTAATTATCCACTTAAGAAATCCCAAGAAAAACAAGTTTTCCCTAGTCCTCGTAGAAATTTAAAAAAAGAACATGGGTTTCTTGGTCATCAATGGGAATAAAAATTCTCATTGACCAACTTTCCCCACCTCAAAATAAGAAAAAAAAGAACACCCTCTTAGTGTTGGGTCGAGATGATCTTCATGGTCTCTTGCATTTACCCATTAATCTAATTCAATTAAAGTTAATCAAGATTAAATACATAAATAATAATATATGTATTTTACATATTACTATAAATCAAAAAAATGTTTAATAATTATTTTATATAATAATCTAATCATATAACGAATTATTAAATGTTTGATCTACTTAGTAACTAATTATTAAGGGCAACACTGTAATTTAATAAAAAAGTAAAGGAATATTTTATGTTAACTAATTACTACTTATCCGTTCTATTCAATAACCTATTGATATAAGCATTGCACTAATTACTTAACAATTTTTAAAAAAAAAAACTTAACAATTTGTTAAATTAATTGATTAATTATACATAACTGAAACAATTAACTTAATAAATACAATAATTATTTAATGTGGTTAACTGGACTAATTTGCATGTTTAATTTAGACGTCAAGTCTATTTTTAACTAATTAATTAGTTATTATGGGTTTGTTTTATGTAAATCATATTCAAATTAGGGAAGGCAATTTTCCACATTAAATTAATAAGTTAATTTTATTAAGAAACACAATTAAGTTAGTTTAGTTAGGAAATTTAATGTGGAATTTGAAATATTATTTTCACATTTAATTATTTAACAATTAGCAGCCGTTAAATTAAAATATTTAAATCAATAATGTTAATTAAGTTTATTTAATCAATTAAGGAACTTTAAACCAATAATGTTAAATTGTTAATGTTATTGATTTAGCGTTCCTTAATTACAAAAAAAAAAAAACTATTTTTAACCATCTAAGTGATTAACTTTAAATAAATTAAACTAGTTAAAAGTAATTAATTAATTGGCATATTAATCATGGTTAATTATAACAGAGTTAAGTTTATTAATGTCAAAGCCTTAAAGGATCCTCGCATATCCAAAACTAAACTGGGTTAAATCATTTCAAACCACGAAAATGGGTTGGGAAAACCCATCCAAGTTGTCATCTTCACCCGCTAGCAAAATTCGGGTCAGACGTAACCCATTTTCTCCAAATGCTGAAACACGGGACTTGTAGGTTTGTTTTCAACAGAAGAGCACTCTCAAGTTTCAATATTCCTAATCGAGTTTAAGTAAAAAATAGCAGTTTTTAAGCCAAACAATAAGTATATGTCTAGCATCGATGCTACATATACAGCACCCTTTTATATTTGTGGGTTGGAAGTACCGTTTTCTGAAAAATGGTATCTTTTCTTTTTAATTTAAAAATGTTACTGCCAGGTAGAACGTTTTCTGAAGCAACAGTTCGCATCCCCCCCCCCTGTTTTGCCCTCCAAAAACATCCCAATGCCTGTAAACGCGCTGCATGTCCTCCCATATGCGAATTAGAGGGACTTGTGCGGAGCGTCCTGTTAGATCTCACCCAAAAGGTTATCCCCTCTCAGATTATTCTCACTCCTCTCTCTCGAATTTCAGCCTCACTTGAACCCTCGACCTTCCGTTCTTAGAACTAAAACCCACCGGAGATTGCCCCCTTTGAGTTCCGTCGGTCGACGCCAACAATCGTTCTAATAGATTTATTTATCGGATGCAAGTATCCCTCTTTAATCTCAGTTCTCAAATAAGTTTTTTTTTTCCCATTTTCTACCTTGTTTTTTGTTTTTTTTTTCTCATTTTCTACCATCCGTTCTTAGATCTGAAACTTGTCGGAGTGGGAGCCCCTTTCGAGTTCCACTGGTTGACGCCGATGATTGTTCCGACAAATTTATTTACCGGAGGTAAGTTTCACTCTTTATTCTAGTTCTCAGATGATGTAGCATAGAAAGTGGCGGGAAATTCTGTTGGGATGCTAGACAGTTATGTTTGTTATATTAGTTGGCATGAGCTAGATGGTGGTTAGTTGAACTGGCGGTTGGACGAGCTGTTATAAAGCTCTTGTATTGAGTTGAATCAATAAAAAAATATCCACATACATTCTCTCATTCCCTTCTTTTCTTTTATTGGATTCTTTCTTTCATTATCTCTAGTCATGTGGCTTTCTTGTGCTAACCATACCTGCAGGATAATTCAGCAGTTCTCGGAGTGTTTCACAACCTGAGCTGCACCATTGGTATCAGAGCTTGTTCTAATTCTGGATCATGGTAGATTCGACACGACAACAAACCTCCATTCAAGAAGTGGAGGCATCTTTAACAAGGAAGTTGAATGAAACTAATGCTTGATTGGATCAATCCATCGCTAGGCTAAAGGATATGATAATGGCACTGGTTAATCAACAAGCAAGGTATGAGTAGACAGGGGAGACGTTAGGGAGAGGACACCCAAGAAGTGGTGGAGATGGTAATTCCTTCTCTGATTCCTCCTTCTCCACGAGGCTCACAAAGGTAGATTTCTCGAAATTCAATGGGGACCATGTGAAGGATTGGCTTTACAAATGTGACCAATTATTCTCTTTGGATAACACTTCGTCTGCTGCTAAAGTCAAATTGGCAGTGATTCATCTAGAAGGTAAAGCACTGCAATGGCATCACGCTTTGATGAAGTCTAGACTCACTAATGACCCCATGAATTGGGAGGATTATGCTAAGGCCATCGCGAGTAGGTTTGGCCCTGCCTTTGATGATCCAATGTCAGAATTAATGTCGCTCAAACAATTAGGATTTGTTGTTGAATATATGGAGCAGTTTGAGAACATCTTGACCAGAGTGGAATTGACTGAAGAATATAAAGTCAATTGCTTCATTACCGAGTTAGAATATGAAACACAGATGCATGTGAAGAACCTGTGAGCTTGCTTCCTTACAGAGAAGGTTTTGATCACAAGATTCCAATTGAACATGGGGCTCTCCCTGTCAATAAGTGGACATACAGGTACCCTTCTTTACTGAAAAATATTATTGAGAAGTTGGTGAATGAAATGTTGGAGAAAGGTATTATACAACCTAGTGTAAGTCCTTATGCTTCTCCTATTGTTCTAGTGGGAAAGAAAGATGATTCATGGTGCCTTTGTATAGATTACAGAGAATTAAACAATAGAAATGTGAAGGATAAGTTCCCTATCCCTCTTTTGGATGATCTCTTGGATGAGCTATCTGGTGCTAGTGTATTTACTAAATTGGATTTAAGATCTGGTTACCACCAACTTCGAATGCATAAGGAGGATGTATTCAAAACAGATTTTAAGACACATGAAGGGCATTATGAATTTTTGGCAATGCCCTTTGGTCTCACAAATGCTCTATTTTCATTTCAGAATTTGATGAATCATGTCTTTAAGCAACATCTTAAAAGATTTGTCTTAGTCATTTTTTATGATATTCTGGTGTATAGTATAGATTTGCTGACTCATCTACATCATTTGGAACTTGTTTTTGAGTATCTGCCATTGCATTCTTTGTATGTTAAGAGAAGCAAATGTTCCTTTGTTGCTTCTAGAGTGGAGTACTTGGGGCACTTTATTTCTTCCCAGGGGGTTGCTACTGACCCTACTAAAATTTCAGCAGCCAAGAATTGGCCTCCACCTACTAACTTGAAACAGCTAAGGAGATTCTTGGGATTATCAAGATATTATAGGAAGTTTGTGCAGCATTATGGTCATATTGTTAAACCTCTCACTGATTTTCTCAAGAAAAATCAATTCTCATGGAATGAAACAGGCCCAAGTGGCTTTTGATCAATTGAAGGAAGCTCTTTGCTCTGCCCTAGTCCTAGCTCTTCCTGATTTTTCCAAGACTTTTGTCATTGAGAATGATGCTTCAGGTGTGGGTATTGGTGCAGTTCTTATGCAGGATAATCATCCTATTTCTTATATAAGTCGCACCCTCAGTCCTTTGCATCAAGCAAAATCAGTATATGAAAGAGAGTTGCTAGCTGTCTTGTTTGTAGTCCAAAAATGGAGTACATACTTACTGAATAAACATTTTATTATAAAGACAGATCAAAAGAGCATCAAATATTTGTTGGACCAGAATATTTCGACTCCAACACAGCAGGAGATAATGGCAAAACTGATGGGCTATGACTTTGAAATTTAGTACAAAAAGGGGCAGGAAAATAAGATAGCAGATGCTCTTTCAAGGCTGCAATATTCTGAACTTCTGTTATTGGCTTTGAGTGCACTAGATGCAGATTTGTATCAACAGTTGCAGTAGGCTTGGAATACTGACTCAGCTTTACAAAAACTGATCCTTGAGCTTCAACAAATTCCAACAGCTCATCCTCATTATACTTGGAGTAATGGTCAATTGCGCAGAAAAGGGAAATTGGTTGTGGGTTCTTCTGCTGCTCTTAAGCAGTCTATTCTTAACTGGATGCATGATTCACCATTTGGAGGCCATTCTAGTCATGCAACAACTTTGCAGAGGATTAAGTCACTGTTTTATTGGAAGGGAATGTCTAAAGATCGTCACCAATACATCTGGTCCTGTAGTACATGTCAAACTTGCAAATATGATTCCTCTGCTTATCCTGGTCTACTGCAGTCCTTACCTATCCCTGATAAAGTTTGGTCTGCAATATCAATGGACTTTATTGAGGGGTTGCCTACTTCTTTTGGGAAGGATGTTATTTTTGTGGTAGTTGATCGCTTAAGCAAAGTTGCCCACTTTATGGCTTTACGACATCCATATACAACCCTGCAAGTGGCTCAACTTTATCTTAATGAGGTCTTTAAGCTCCATGGGTTGTCGGATACATTATCTCTGATAGGGATCATGTGTTCCTCTCTGAATTTTGGACTGAGTTGTTTAAATTGCAAGGTGTTGAATTACTTCATTCCTCTGCGTATCAACCTCAAACAGACGACCAAACGGAAGTTGTCAATCGCTGTCTCGAAACATATCTTCATTGTATGTGTCATGATCAGCCTACTTCATGGAGTAAACGGCTTCCTCTTGCTGAGTGGTGGTATAATACCACCTTCCATACCTCTGCTAGTACGACTCCATATGAGATCTTATACGGGCAGCCCCCTCCTCTTCATCTGCCTTATTTGCCAGGGGAGTCTAAAAATATTGAGGTTGATCGCAGTCTCCACCAGCGAGAGAACATGATGAAATCTCTTAAATTTCATCTGCAGAGAGCTCAAAATAGRATGGCGCAGTTGGCAAACCGACGCCGGAGTGAAAGGTGCTTCAATATTGGGGATATGGTATTCCTTAAATTGCAACCATATCGCCAAAGCACCATTGTTGATCTCTCAAATCATAAACTCAGTCCCAAGTATTATGGCCCCTATAAAATCCTTGACAAGATAGGTGTTGTTGGCTACAAGCTCGAGTTGCCTGCTGGAGCTCAGATTCATAATGTGTTTCATGTATCCCAGTTGAAGAAGAATTATTCAAATGTTGCTGCTTCTGATTTGCCTCTTTTCATGGTCCCTTCCGATGCCCCAAAAGTCCCTGAAGCTATTCTTGATCGTCATATGGTCAAGCGAGGGAAGGTGGCTGCTACAAAGGTCTTGGTCAAATGGCAGAATTACCCTCCTGAAGCTGCCACTTGGGAGTTCTATTATGATCTCTGCAAGAAGTATACTGGGTTTGACCTTTGAGGACAAAGGTTCTTGAGGGAGAGGATTTGATGTAGCATAGAAAGTGGCGGGAAATTTTGTTGGGATGCTAGACAGTTATGTTTGTTATATTAGTTGGCATGAGCTAGATGGTGGTTAGTTGAGCTGGTAGTTGGACGAGCTGTTATAAAGCTCTTGTACTGAGTTGAATCAATACAGAAATATACACATACATTCTCTCCTTTCCTTCTTTTCTTTTCTTGGCTTCTTTCTTTCCTTATCTCTGTTTGTGTGGTTTTCTTGTGCTAATCATACCTGCAGGATAATTCAGCAGTTCTCAGAGTGTTTTCACAACTTGAGTTGCATCATCATATCAGTTTTTTCTACCTTGTTTTTTGTTTTTTTTCTCATTTTCTACCTTCCGTTCTCAGATCTGAAACCTGCCGGAACTTTCCCCCTTCGAATTCCACCGGTCGACGCCAACGATCGTTCTGGCAGATTTATTTACCGAAGGTAAGTTTCCCTCTTTATTCTCAGTTCTCATATCAGTTTTTTTCTCATTTTTTACCCTATTTTTTTGTTTTTGTTTTTGTTTTTTCTCATTTTCTACCTTCCGGTAACAGATCTGAAACCCGCCGGAGCTTGCCCCCTTCAAACTCTATTTTGAATATGGAACTTAACCCACTCCCCTGTTATGTTCTATGTTGGCCGAGCATACAAACTTAGGGTTTTATGTTCATACTGTTTTCAGCCCGTTGTAATATTATACCTCAAAACTGGAATGCATTATGTGATTTCTGAATTGCATATGAGGATTTTTATCATTCAAAGTAACTTCAAACTCTGAGTGTCTTTATGTTTATGAATTACGAGCCTTAGAGACATGGGGAGATGTCTCTATCCTTTTCATGGTGAAGCACTCTATTAAATTTATGAAAAACATTAAAGTGCTTCCACGGTGAAGCACTATATTAAATTTATGAAAAACAATAATTAAATCTAAATTAATATAACGAAGAGCAGTAGAGTGATTCCATGGATGAATGCTAAATAAATCTTAGCATATGTTTTTGAATATTTTGAGAATTTATATTTTTAGAAATGAATTTTATTTTAAAATTTGACTCTTGTATATATGAAATTTGGCTCTTAATTTAGTAATAATTTAATAAATTAATAAACTAATTTATATTAATTTAAAAAAACATTTAAGAGAAAAAAACCTTTGAATTGTTTAAGACTTCTTATTTTGATGCATGTCTTATTTTAGTATACTTTTATAAATTAATACTATATTAATTTAATAAATTAATTTATATTTCTTAATAATAAATTAACATTTATTATATATAATATAAATATAATTTTATATATGTAATAGCATCGGGTCAGGCTTATTTAAAAAAGACTAGGCTCGAGCCCACAGGCTTAAAATTTTGTTTAAACCTGAGGGTCAAGTCAGACCAATGGGCTATTCGGCCCGTGAATAGATCTAATTGTATATATAAACAATTATATACATCAAAAATCATATCAAATAAAAATTTAAATATCTTTTTAAATTTTTTAAAAAATTAACCTCTCATTACTTGACTTAATCCTCTCACAACTTGGCGCAATCCACAGCCTAACCGGAGGAGAGGCATGACTAAGGTAATGTTTAGTACATATCAACATTTTCTCTCTCTTGCTCTTCTAATACGTCTAAAACGTAAAAAATAAAATTCCGTTTGTAAAAATTTTTTTTTGGAAACTTTCATAAACGGCTTTATTCACCGATACGCCTAATGACGCCTAATGCATTTATCCGTTTTATCATATAAGTGCAAACGTTTATTCAATAAACATGAACGGTTGCAAACACATACTAAGAACGCGCCGTGGACCAACACAGCACGTCTTTTCAACTCACGAGATAACGACACTAGGCGGGCCTAGTTATAGTTGCCCGCATTAGACATAATTCCAGAATTCTCAGTAGGGGAAGTGAAATCCATTTTACAGAGCTACTCCATTTCCTTTCTTGAACATTTCATCAACCATCTGTCTTCCATCAGAGCTTCATAAGGCTAAATAGTAATACTATTTCAGCGGGAAAAGTTTTATAGAAAAGAGAAAGCAGTAAGCGCAACTCTCAGTCACAGATTCATTCAACATGTATGAACAAATTATTTACATACAAGGATATGTAAAAGTTTTATTGAAGAAAGAAGGAATTGTACATAGTAGTTCACAATCTACACCCAAAGCTAATTAACAAATTCAAACACCAAGAGGCGGATTGATCTCAAGCTTGGCAACCCCCTCTCTATCCTGCGCAAGCTTAGCAACTTCCACTTCTCCCACAACCTGGGGCTCCTCATCCTTCACAACGCCCTTTTCTTCCTCCTCCTCCACATAGTTGGGATCTCCCTCGTCGATGGCCGGCAGCGTAGGCGAAAGCTCATTCTCGGCAGCATCACACGGATCCTCCCAAGTGTACTTGCCACCGTGACCGGACTTGGGTGGGGGCTGTCCAAGCCCGCCGAGCCCATCCACAGGGTGACGTTCCATGCGCTGCACACCCTTGTCCCAGAGCTGCTTCTCAATGTACTTGACTCTGTCTGGGTTGTGCGGTTTCTTCACCTCCTTCCTCTCAGCCCTCTTTCTCCCTCCCTCGTCGTCTTCATCGACCACCCGATCAAACGAAACAGAATCCTTTGACAAGTTCCCTTCCATCGCCGGCCGAAGACCGACCGTTTATCAGTTGTTTTGCAGTCGCAGCTGTGCTCCAACTCCAGATTTCAAGAACTGAATAGTTGCCTCACACTGTTGTTGAAGCAATGGTGGAGATCTGAAGAGGTTTTATAGAGGGTTTTAGAAATTGCTGGAGTCTCGACTTGAGACGAGACGAGTCGGCCTCGGCCGAGATTTTGCGTGCTAAAAGTTGCTGGACACATGCAGATATTCGTCTCCCAAGGCACGTGTCTTGTTCTCGTAGATACGAGACCGTTCAAAACCATTTGGACTGTTGGATTTGGAGAACCCACCACAATCGATCGATTCATATCCCGTTGGAGGAGATGCTATTATTAATAAATCAACGGTTTGGATTCGCTCAAATCTATAGTCATCATTACCAATGCCAATGGATTGGGCTCGGTCAGATTCATTGGCCCACTTGCGTCGGCCATTCAATTCATTTGTATCAACAACTGAAATCATGCAGTCAATCCATAATCAGATCCATGTTTTTTACAATTTTCACTTGTCGCTTAAACACAAGGGTGTTCACTGCTGAGATTGAAGGCCCACGGCCCACGCAGAACGGTTACGAAAATTAAAATGATTTAGTCCTGGATAAATCAACCTATCATCCGATTTGACGTGGCTCCCAATCCTGTAATGATGTAAATATGATATAATTCAAGCCCAGGGTAATTATTTTAAGGATAAGTGGATCATTACATAACAGGAAAAAAAACGAGATTAGGGCAGCGTTTGGTATCAATGCCATTGTTTCAGAAAATACTGATACATCAGCGTCACTTTGGAAAAATCGGTGTACCAGGAAATGTTAATATCTTTAAAATTATTTTTTCATAAAAAATGGTGTTTCAAATCATGTCTTGAAAATCGAAAAGACGTGGTTTGGAGTAGAATTTGATGTTTTCTCAAATTGGAGCTCGTTGCTGCCAATGAAAACATGATGTGGCAGTGATGTGGACTTCCTATCAGCGTCACTTTGGAAAAATCGATGCTCCAAGAAATGTTAATATGTTTAAAATTATTTTTCCATAAAAAACAGTGTTCCAAGCCATGCCTTGGAAATAAAAAAGACATGGTTTGGAGCAGAATTTGATGTTTTCTCAAATTGGAGCTCATTGATGCCAATGAAAACATGATGTGGCAGTGATGTGGACTTCCTATCAGCATCACTTTGGAAATATCGGTGCTCCAGAAAATGTTAATATGTTTAAAATTATTTTTCCATAAAAAATGGTGTTCTAAGCCATGCCTTGGAAATCGAAAAGACATGGTTTGGAACAGAATTTGATGTTTTCTCAAATTGGAGCTCGTTGTTGCAAATGAAAACATGATGTGGCAGTAATGTGGACTTCCTATAATGGGTACCAGTGCTGAAAACAGATATGAAACACTAGTACCAAATAGAAGATATTGCTGTTATTCCAAGAAACATCCTACGTGACAATAACATTTCCAAACAAAAGAATATCTCAAAGAACCATTCAATCTAAAAGGTTAAGCTATTAGATAAACTGGAGTTGGATAGATCAATATATTTGCTAGTGAGGGCTTTGTTGCCACTAATAGTTTATCAAAGTTTTCATTTTTCATTTTCCTACTTGATCCTTCTGTAACGAATAACTTAACACTGAAACCTAAATAAAATCTATATATTATAGTTTTGATTATGGGTTCAATTTTCAACCCATTGTGTTTTTCCTTCATTTATTTTCTTTTTTCTTTCATTTTATGTATAATGATAATTATTCATGCTTCTTTTTCTTTTCTTTCATTGATCCGCTATTTTTAACTCTTCTACTCACTATGTATCACTTCTATGAGTTTTTGCAAGCACCGCAAGCCAAAGGCCAGGGTGCTGAGTTAATGACTAGAGGCCTTATAGGGAAAACCATGTATTTTGGTTAATAATAGCATTATCTGACACTGCATATATCAAGTCGGTTCATCCACATGGTTGAATCCTGGTCGAGTGAATTGCTAGCTCTAGGGGTGTCAATGGACCAGATTTGGGTTCGACCCATTCGAATTAAAATTAATTTAAACAAATGAGATGCACCAATAAGACATAAGACCAGTCCAGACTTAATGGTCTTTATTGGATTGGACTGGACCTGGTTCATTTATAATAATAGATCTATATTGAATTAAGTCGGATTGAACCAATGTCCAATCCATTGACATAAGTAATAGTTTGGGGTTCAACCCAATCTAAATTAAAATCACATTGAACAGTTTGGACGATCCAAACATTGAATATATTTGCGCCAGTCCTGCAATCCAGAATGGTCCAAAATATTTGTCGAATTGGATCGGACCTGGTCCATCTATAATGGACTCTTGACTCTTACTGGAGCAATGACCGGCACTATAGCACTATAACACTTCCTGATCCATAAAAAAGAAATGTTACCAGACAACTGTTTTGGTTAGTGGATCACAAGCCAGCCATTAGATTATTGTTCGACTCATTTAAATAAAAATTATAAAAAAGGAAAAGAAAATTCTCAATTAAAATACCAACGTTGTTAATGTTAACCCACTTAAATATCAAAACATCAATTTTCTGTCAATCCCGGTTCATACGGTCCAACCATCTAATTTAGCACCAAACTTAATACTTAATAATCGAGTCTATCATCTTTGCTGCTGTGCTCTCCTCTATCCGCTGATCCAGCATTCAAATACTGAATGATGTCCAAGTAGAAGTCCCAGTCCGGATGAACACAAGTTATTGGAGGCTGACCAAATGGGTGTTCCATCACATAAGAGGGGACATCATCTGCAGTCGCCAGGCCCTCTAGGTAAAGTCTGAGTTCACCATGAGCTCCTACTCAATCAGAAAGTAGCATTAGTTCGGGTTCTTGTCAGAACTAATCCAACTACCCGAATCATGTGTTTAAACCCGGCACGTTGGTACTTAACATAGGGGCTGAACTGAATGACTTATTGACTTGTCTCTTATCCACTAAAAGACAAAATAACAAGTTATTCAGCTCAACTATTTCAGCCGTTAACAAACGGCTAGCTCCTTGGTTGGAAAATGTAAATCTCACCTAAAGATATATCTGAAGTGCCCTCCACTTCGTATGTATCAGAGAAGATTGCAGTGTTGGGCTGAAAGGAAAGAGATCTTCCAGTGTTTAGACTTTAGAAGATGAGTGAAAAAAACAAAGGAATGAATTACCAAGAAAAGAAGAGATTATAAGCAGTCAAGATTCAGGGAGTCTGAACTGTGTTTTACCGGGTTCAACAGAGCTTTGTAAGGAGTATCATCGATTAGTAAGGTGTTAGATGCAGAATACCGCCCCTTTCGCCATGGAAGACTTAAGTGCTGATTGTTCCAGAGTTTATTCAGCTCCTTCAAAAGGAGAGGCTTGCCCTTATTCTCCAACGTCTTGAACCCAGAATCTGTGCATTGTTTTTGGTCCTACCAAAACCCATTTAAACCAAAGTTCCCAGTTAATAGAAACCCATAAGAAGGATTAGACTGTCTTAACAAACAAGCAAAGAGTTAATAGACCAAGGAGAATATAGAACCAAAGATTGGTTTACTGACTCCATAGCAGAAGACCAGATTCCGACTTCAAATCTCTCAAAGCAGAATTGCATGAACTCGTCGCAGAATGGCCTCTTGAACACTGAAACAAGATTGGCAAAACATAATAAGATTGGTTCCAACCAGATCCAATTTTCAAGTGTGAACTGTCTGTTTAAAGTGAATGAAATTGATGGAATAGAGAGACGATCGGTCGATCTACATCACCTAAATAGTTGTGAAATATCCCATCTGGCTGGCGAGACTTTGGCATGCTGATAGTGTCGAAACGGTAGACCCTACGAAGGAGCAAGCCGTTCATGTCGAGAACGATAAGCTTTTTCTTTGGACCAATTTGCAATCTCTCTAACCTCACAACCCTTTAAATCAACTTCATCACCATCGTTGTCATGAACAACTAGCTTCGGATTCGAAATCTCAGTCTTTTCGGCCATGTCCGCGTAAATCTGAAGAAACCCAGTAGCAGCAGAAGTATATATAACCAGAAAAAGATCAGTTTCTTTTGTCTTTTTTGCCCAAATTGGATCATGTTGATTGATTTATATCCAAACTTCCCAGCTCTTGAACTTCTGCAATTAAGAAAAACAGATTTGGTGGATTAGAAAAGTTGCTTTGCAGCTAAACAGCATCGTAAAAACTATGATTTTTGTCATTAAAAGCACCAAGCAAGTCAGGAGACCCAACGAATAGTCGAACTACTAAACAAACAATTAATTCTTCAGCCCCACGAGCCACGAGGAATAGGAAACGGCTAGGCAGATAGCAAAGAACGAGGCGGAGCCATTATAGGAATCAATGATTGAGCGGATCCACCCACTCGATCTGATACCGTAGATCTCACCATGAGACTGGGATCTGCCATGCCTGAGATGTGCGGTGTCAGATCTTGTTGGTAGAGTGTTGGACGTATTTTATTGACAATAGGTACTCGCCAATTTTGGGCACTTATATGCTCAGTTTGGAAGGAGTGCAAATATGTACAGTGAAAATATATACAAAAAGGTTTTGCATTCTACATATTTGYATTTGTACTCCTTCCAAATATAACATTGAAGCCCTCTCGGTTGCCCCAATAAATCCATGCAAATTTCTGGCTAGATTCAATATGCAAATGATATGGTAGAGGTTTCTTTTTTATACATATAAATTTATGGTTTCATTTGGATTTTCTTGATTTATTGGAGAAAGGAGTGGATAATTTTTATATTTTAAGATGAAGAGATACATTCATGTTAGTGTATATATATATAATGATTCTTGTTATTTTAGTTGGTTTGGTTTGGAGAAAGTAAAGGTATTTTTGATAAATTATGGTCTAAGAGAAATGGGTGAGGAATAGTAAATAAGAAAAATTCAGGTGGGCACTTTGGTAATTTAACACATTCTATCATCTAACTTAATGGTGAGGGGGTATTTATCACCACTATAGGGATCTTTGTAATTTACCCTATTTTTTTTCTTAGGTAATGAAGAAAAAGGGCTCTACGAGACTACAACTACAATGGGACAAGGCTAAAGCAGTAAATGGATGAAATATAGTTAGTGACTAAGGTGTACAAGTCCCAAACTAATTATTAAGCGATTCCCTAACTGACCCATAACCAGAACTAATTAACAAATGGGGTAAATTACTGAAAACTCCCCTAAAGTTTCTGGTTATTGCTAAAACTTCCCTTGAAATTTAGTAATTGCAATCATCTTCACTGAATTTTCTGACATAATTGCAAGTATAACCCTTTTGTTAAAATCTTCTAAAAAAGACATGAAAATGTCCAAAATACCCATGCAGGTACTTTTAATCAAACCAATTTCCTCTTCATATGAGTCGCTAGCCCAAACCCTTTCGATCCCTTTTCTGAAATTGATTTATTTTTCAAATTTACCCTCTATATCAATCACTCAAATGTAAAGATGCAACTTTAAATTGTCTATTTTCTGTTGTTTATAATGTTTTTATTGTTTTTTATGTAGAAACCAAACTCAACAATAATTGTATGGGTATTTTTGACATTTTGTATCTCTTTTTAGAAGATTCTAAGAGAGGGATCTATTTGCAATTGTGTCAAAAAATTTAGGGGAGGTGATTACAATTAACAAACTTCAGGTAAGATTTCGACTACAATTAGAAACTTTAGGGAGGTTTCAGCAATTTACCGTTAACAAATGGGATAATCGGGCCTGACCAAATTACACTTGACGGCTTAATTACCTATGTTTAGAGTATAGATACACAGTGCACTCAAATGTATTGACACGACAATTTAGATCTCTTCCTAACCTCATTTTGCTTCCCTTCCTAAAACACATGTTATTACAATTGTCCCATGTGTGATAGAACCTTCCTCGTGTAACACACACACACACACACTCTCTCTCTCTCTCTAGGGATGCAAACGGATTGGGTCGTATTTAAATTAGGGTATATTTGAAACTGGTTAGACACTATTATTTGCATATTTGGATCTGCTAGACATGGATCTAAATTCAAATCTGATTGGGAAGTCGGGTATTTGGGTCTAATTCGATCAGATTTGTTTTCTTTAAAATTAATAAATTATTAAAATAGAAATAAAATATACCAATTTAAATAAAGGAAAAAATACAAGTATTTTTTTAATTATTTTCATCATATATATATATGTTTTTATAAAAAATAAATAATATAACAAATTTGCAAAAATACAACATAAATAATATATTTGTAAATAAATAAATAACATATATATGTATTGTATATATTTATATAAATAAATATATAACATATATATCGAATTGAATCTTCTCAGATCGAATAGAGGTGATCCGAATCTGAATCCAAATTCTGATTAGATTCTATTATCCTATCCGAATGGGGGTGGTCGAAATTTGACCAAATAGGATCAGATCATCCAATTCATTTGCACCTCTCTCTCTCTCAAAACCCTCGTTGTTTTCTCTTAAACAAAATGGAAGCGTCATTATTGAAAAACTTTGCAAGCAGACCTTTTTATTTCTTTCTAAAATATATGCACTCACCGGATGTCACAATGAGGTATGGGCTCTATTTGGATTCATTACAAAGCAAAAGTATCATAGGCAATGCTTCCAAATGAATGAGAAGCAAACCCTAACTTTGTTCAGGGACTGTTGCGAAGAAACACTTGAGCTGCAAAGCAAAAATAGTAGAGGTAGTGCTTCAATAGCATTTAATGATATTTCAAATTCAAAGGCTTAATTAAAAGTGGAGTGATAAATTAAATTTGAATTTGAATTTAAAAAGTAAAAAGAGTGGGAAATGAAATTCGGATTGTATCAGCTGATACATAGTGCATATTGATCCATTTCGAGATTGTATGAGTCAATACATATCTAAAATAGTCTGATACGAGGTCAATACGGATCCATATCAGTCTGATACGAACAAAAAAACACAAAATTATCTAATTCTATGTGTTAGCGACGTTTCAGAGGTCTGACATCTGAAATATATGCTTTTAAAACGCTAGGTTCATTTGGTATTGCTTCTGAAATATGATATTCAGATTTAAAATTGTAAAGCCCAGGCCCGTCACTTAACGCATTCAGACACATTTTAGACGTGGCCCAAAATAAAAAATACCCCTATTTTAACCCGATAAAAATCYCCATTCTCTCTCTCTCCCCCCGTCTTCCCATCGTTACCGCTGCAACTCTCAGCAGCGTTGATTCTATAGGATCCTTTCATCTTGTCATTTGGGGTTCCTTCAAATCCAATAGCCATTATCAAATGGCTAACTTCATCTCAAAGAATGCAATCTGTTGAGGTATCCTTAGATAGGAATTGAAATCAGGAGCAGCTAACCAAATGAAATAATTCATGCTCATAATTAGCCAGCTTATGGATTCTACATTCTTACATTCTCAAAAGCAAAATTGACCTTAAATTTGACTTTATTACGGATAAAACTAACGGCATTTGAATTTGAAACCTAAATAAAATTCTTCATTCTTCATTTTCCTGCTTGATCCTTCTTAACGAATAACTTAACACTGAAACCTAAATAAAATCTACCATAGTTTTTGCAAGCACAGCAAGCCGAAGGTCAGGGTGCATGACCAGAGGCCTTGTAGGAAAAACCATGTACTTTGGTTAATAATAGCATTGTCTGACACTGCATATATTAAGTCGGTTCATCCACATGGTTGAATCCTGGTTGAGTGCAATGCTAAGGGGTGTCAATAGACTAGGTTGGGATTGGATTCGTTAGAATCAAAATTAATTTTAATAAATTGGATGCACCAATAAAATATATTGAATTGGATCGTTCCAAACTTAATAGTCTAAAGTATTTATTGAATTGGATGGGACCTGGTTGATTTGTAATAGATTTATATTGGGTTAGGCCGGATTGAACCAATGTCCAGTCCATTGACATAAGATAATAGTCTGGGTGTCAATGGATCAGGTTTGGGGTTCAACCCAATCTAAACTAATACCACATTGAACAGTTTGGACGATTCAAACAATGAAAAAAATTGGACCAGTCCTGCAGTCAAGAATGGTCCAAAGTATTCATCGAATTGGATTGGACCTGGTCCATCTATAATGGATTCTTACTGGATTGCATAGGATTGGATCAACAACGATCCATTGACAGCCCTAACTAGCTTCACCCAAGCTACCAGCCATGACAGCTACGTCTAAAGGGTTATGTAGGGAATCAGAACACAACGGAGCCAGAACCTATACAAGAAATCTAGAACATGAAATCATCATCCGGATCATATTTAACATGGTTAATGGATTCAAATTCGATTTGGATTTCATGAGATCCAATCCGATCCATTTGCATGCCTATGGCCAAATTTATGTGGGTGTAAAGTAGAGAAAGGCAAGGAAACCTTTACAAACTTTGTATAGATTTTTATACATTTCCCTTCCTTTCCCTACCTTTACAAACCAAACATAGCCTAGGTGAGTGTGAGTCCATCTCTCATTCCATTTCATCCAGATGAAACCCATGCATGTGGTCATATTATGTTAAACCGGTGAGATCCAACTAGAAATCAAACAAGTTGAATATGGTTAGGTGTTTCTGCATAGTTTCTACGGCAGTTGGGTTGGGGCTGAGTCATGTCCTTTGAAACCGTCTATTATTCAAACCAGCAGTTCCAAATTCATCAAAAAACCAGCAGTTTTGGTTTAAGCCTAAGAAAGGAGACATTGAATCATTGCTCCATTTGATAGTTTTTCCATTCAGTAACAACGTAGATCTAGTTACATAGATTTAAAATAAAGCTTATGAAGCTAATAACCAGACATATTCATGGATGATTCAACTCCCCAGTTCCCTGCAGACAAAACATTCAGAGCTTCCACCTAAGAAAGGACTCGGTCAAGCCCATTTAGCTTTAATTTTCGAGTATAATTTCCAATCTGGATGAGCAGAATTGATTGATGGCTGACCAAAAGGATGTTCTTCCACGTATGAGGGAACATCATCCGCATCCGTTAGGCCTTCAAAGTAGAGCCTGAGTTCTCCATTTGGGTTTATTTAGTTCAAAATGTGCAAGCAAAAGATACTTGACTCCCAGAGCTTCTTCATCCCCTTCGGAAATATGGGCTTCTCCTTCTTCTCAAAGTCTTGAATTCTGAATCGGTGCATTCCTCTTGATCCTACCAAATCATGCTTACTACAAAACATTCATTCACCAGAGCATGTGTAAATATTTTCTGGTCATCTATATGATATTCTACTTACCCAAATAAACAGCAGCCTACGCTTCAGTGGTCCGATTACACAGTCGAGGACAGTATCTACATTCCTCCTAATATTGATTAAAATTACAGATAGAGAGAGAGAGAATAAAATGAAAAACAGGTAAAGATCGTTTGATTTACTGACTCCATCGCAGAATACCAGATTCCCACTTCGAATCTATCAAAGCAAAATTTCATAAAATCCTCTTAGAATGGCCTCTTGAACACTGCATAAAACATTCAAAGTAAGATGAGGCCCAAATCAAAACTACTGTGTCAGAAATTACATTCTTCTGGTTTCTACCTACTCTCCCATGCGTTTGCACTACTGCAAATGAAATTGCAGTGCAAACAATTGGAGGCTGAGGCTGCGTTTGTTTGTGATACAAGCAATGTATCTCCCCTGATTTGACATTCAAAAATGCAATAATTAAAAGGTCAAAAATATGTGTTTTTGACATTTTTGTATTAGTGTGACCATTTTTTTATACACATTTGTGCTCTTCCAATAATTAGTGCATTTGATCAAAAGCTTAAGGCATTTTAATGATGGGCCCATGTTTTGCACCAATTTCAACCAAACAGAAAGAATATAAACCCACTTTGCATTCTTGAACCGAAAATAAGGTATTTATGCAAAATAAATATTCACATTTAGATCGCAACCAAAAAAAAAAAAAGAATGCTGGCCCGATCACGTTTATAAACCCTACGAAGCAGCAACCCGTTCAAGTTAAGAACGAGCAGTTTCTTTCTAGGACCAATACTCAGTTAGTCAGTTTCTCCTAACAAATGCCACCATCGCTCCTTCATCTTTGTCATCATCATCACTCTCACTCTCATGAAGGACCAACTTTTGTATCAAGCTACTAATCTGCTCCAAATTTTCCATCGATTGCGCTTCTGGAATTAAGAGGAAAACATGATATAATCAAGTTGGGTTGATAACTGAACAGTCAGAAAACCAAAAGTCTCGTCAATACTTCAGCCATTAATACATTTGCACAACAAAACCGCCACTAGTTAAGCTTTGCGTGATGATATTGAGTAATGGCATGGACCAACGTTCAGCGTCTCTTCAACAGAATTGTACGAGAGATTGAATATGATTGAAACAAGAGAGAAAGAGAGAGAGAGAATAATGCAGATGTGCATTTACCAGTGGAATGAATCAAGGTTTCTGGTTCCATAAAATTTTGGCATTTAGCTCTGTTGAATAATATAAGATTTTTCAAAATTTAAACCGTTATTTATTTAAACATTATTTAGTTTAGATTGATATCCCTACATTTATCCCATTTGACGATGTGGAAGCTTACGCCTATCATATTTTTGGAGCATTTAGGCTGAGTTTGATTTATAATTGAATAGCTCAAACTTTATTCAAAACCTGTACAGGGGCTTTTCATTTGAATCAAGAAACTAAAATAAGATTTGGTTTGTTATTAGACTCACTTTGGAAGGAGTACAAATACAAATATACAGTGTAAATACATACAAAATCAGTTTGGAAGGAGTACAAAATACAGATGCAAATATGTACAGCCTAAATACATACAAAATATATGGTTTTSCACTCTACATATTTGCACTTGTACTCCTTCCAAACTCGGCCTAAGGTTTTACATTCTACATATTTGTATTTGTACTCAATTCAAACTGAGCCTAAAAGATATGAACCAACTTTTTAACCTGAACTGAATTAGGCATCATCATCCTAACAAGGTAGGTAGGATCCATGCAAAGACATGTTCAAGTAGGGATGTATTTTTTCTAGTAAGCAAATGGGCTATGCAACACAACGGGATTCTCTGACAAGCAAAAACAACTATATATATATATATATATGGAAGATATTTCCACTGTACAGCTGAATGTTATATGAACAAAGTTTTTGCTTGCAAGAGATTTTGGACTTGTACGCAACTGGGTAGCACTCCCAAACCCCTTGATGAAGGTGGAATTAGATTGCAAGTCTCCACTACAGCCAGCTAGAGACCCAGCAAACTGGTAACTTCAACTAGAAAGCACATTTTCTGTGATTGTGATCGCCATTCCCCTCCCCCTAGCCCATTACAATGTGTCAAATTAAATATGGATTTAGATTGGAGAAGACCTAACCCTTAACCGGACTTGTTGGCTTCAGCTTTTCTTTCACTTTTTTCTTTTTTTTTTTTTATAAGCAAAATAATTCGTTAGCTAAATGATGAAAGAAGATTTGAAATTGCCTTCTCTTTTTTAAATTTTTTAGACCAGTATGTTTTTTCTTTAAATGAAAACCTGAGACCATGTCTAATATAGACTTTCATGAATCTACAACAAATGAAAAATATTTACAATGAAATATTCATGTAACTTCTATGGCAAGTGGCGTGGTGACATTGAAAATTTTGTGGATGTAACCTTCACCAAGAATTGGGCATGGGTTGGAATCGGTTGTCGCTATAGAGTTAGGTCTGATTCATTTATTCTATTTTATTTGCTCAGGTTCAACTCTTTCAAATTAGTCAACCCGGTCAGTTAAACCATTTGAAAATTAGTTTTAGGTGACCAAGCTTGTACTTAACCCAATCCACTAATATCCCTATGACCAGATCATATGTTGTGAAGATTTAATATTCTTCTTTATTGATTGTGATACATAGATCTTTGGAGAACTCTACTTTTTCAATATGATCCAGAAATAAGATCACCATGTATTGCATCCTGTTATACCAAGAATAGAAATGTATCGCCCCGATACCAGTAGAAATTAATTTCCCACCCAGAATGCAGAGGGTACTGCAATAGTCCACTCAAGATGGGAAACTAGCTTTTAAGAGGTGTGTAGTAAACTTAGCTAGTCCTTTTTTTTCTTGGTTAAGGCCCTTTCCTAAAACAGTGCACCCGTTCAGAGATTTAGATCAGTTGCAGGCAGACAGCATGAATTTCTTCTTAAGAAATTAAATTTCATATCAAAATCTGAATTAGAATATTTCCATCAAAATTTTGCAAATTTCTGGTATTAATGTCCATTAGCATCAAATTTTCCATGCACATATACTCTTCAATTCTCTAAGCAGGAACCCCTTCATGTCATAGATGGAAAACAGAATCAATAAGAAAATCACAACAAGTTCTCTTTAGTTTTGGAGACTTTGGCAGAAATGTTACAACAATGATAAAATGTACTTCTAGCAAGCCTCATTTACCTGTTCTTCCAGCCTCCAGAAGCACCTAGCCCATGAGAAAAACCATCCTTCATGTGCTATTCCCCTGGAACAGACACATTAATGTCTGGAGATTGTTTCTGTTCCAAGGTTGACTCAGAGCCATGCCAACCACCACTTCGGAAAGTAGAGTTTGTGGTCGGGTTACTGCTCACACTGTTCTCTGCTTCTCCATGGCTTTGTTCTGGTAATGTAGATGTTGGGGTGACACAGGTATCATCATCAGGTATTACTTGAGAGATCGGTCTTGCTGCTGTGACAACATCTGGGCCACCTGGAACTGGGGAAACCATTGAAGGTTCTAGAAGGTGCCTCCGCTTGTGGGCTTTGTAACTGTTTGGCATGAAGCTCCCCACCACAACCTGGTAAAACAAAATCATGAATTTTACAGTTCTTTTCAAGCTGATGGTAGCAATAGTTCAACAACTGTTTTAGCACCCTCTACTCATTAAGGACAGTATATTGGCCAGACCAAGCTCTATTCCTCATTAAGCCAGGTACGACCCATCCAAGTCCTGGTTTTGAGGGGTACTGACATGAGTTTCTAATACAAGTTCCCTCCAGTTAATCATTGCAAAGCCTCATGAATAAGTTAACAACTTGACCAATTGGTGAAGTCTTTAACATACAGAATTATGTAGTGGGGAATATATTCACTCACTGTCTCTGATAGTGGCAGGTTGCTGTTTGTTGTACCAAGGCAAGTCTGAAGTAAAACATTAAAAGAACACTTCTGACCTCAAACCTGAACACGGTTATATAATCCTAACCATGTGATTTGTCATTTCATCTTGAAGATCAAAATAAATACAGCAAATAGTCCAGGGAAAGAGAACAGGTCTCTTTCTCCTGAGACATCTCTCGGGTGGGACAGAGAATGACAGGTGCCATAGTCCTATAGCGTTAGAACTTACAAGCAGCCTAATGAATCATTAATAAACAATCCTCAACTTGGACCATAGATTTCCCTTACCTTTAATGTCATTTAGTTGATAAAATTATTACCTACTATAGCCTTGTCAATGGTATTCAATATATGCTTCAGTTGAGTTTCTCTCTGTCCACTACAACTTGGTACAGTTCCAAAGTGTATACATATGTTTTTGGTTTGCACTTGTCCTGCTGTTACTAGGTTTAAGTGACTGGTATATTTTGGAGATCTAAAAGTAAAACAGTGTTACATTTTGGGATCACAGAAAGCTGTCATTCGTGCAGAACAATAGGCCACTTAAATATCCTTGCCGGGACAATTACATTTGGAAATGCTAAGAACTGGGGTATTTCATCACTCTATTTGTAAAGGTATAACAAGACAAGGCCTTACCTGGATTGGGCTAGCAGCCATTAATAAACCTGCTACTCCCCCACCAATCACACGTCCATCAGGACCTGCCAGTGAAACACTTATTCCACCAGTTCTACCACGTATTCCACCACCAATGTCAGTGATTGCATAGGACCCAGTCAAGGACAATATCTCGAAGCGGCCCTGCATTAGAAAACAAGTTAAACAGCTTATTCTCTTCCATAAGATATCAACAAACAGGAAGGAGTTAATTCATTTTGAAGTAAAGAAACCATGAATTATAATCAAACAGATTTGAGAATTTAATTCATTTTCTATTAGGGGGTTCAAATAGTATACTAGATAAACCTTGCTTCCTTATCTAAGTTTACTCGTTAAAATTCCACTATTTTCAGAATGTTTGCCAAGTATATACACCAGAAGGCTCTGGGTTCCCTTTCTTGCGTACATATTGTGTCCATTGCTTGGTGTGATGGTAAAATCTCGATCAGGAAAATGTGAGAATGTGGGTTTAAGTCTGAGAGTGGCCACTTTGTGCAAAAAATGCCAAAGGTTAGGACCATATCCAGTCTACCCCTCCCACCCTAGATGGTTGCGACCAACATTGGGTAATTGCCTTCATACTAGCAATTATACCCATATCTGTGACCAGTATCTTAGGAAATGGAGAATTGTATCCTCATTTCCCATATCCATGCCCAATTTGGTATCTGCATCTTGGGACATCATAGCAATGCAGCCTTCCACCATAAGTAATTTCTACTTTCAGTAATAAAATTATACCGAATACAGATCCCTCTCCCAGCCAAGGTGCAGTGGCACAGGAGTGACAACTAGAACAGCAAGTCAGCAAATAGCAAGCATAGTTTTGAGGCATTAAGAAGGATGCATGATAAATGTCAGTTGATACAGCCAAGATGACTTCAGGTGTTTAATGGCACAGTCTGAAGACAAGAAGACAAAGTTTCTGCCTACTACATCATATTTACCACCTTAACTTGGTTTATCTCAAGGAATGTAAAGATATCAAAACCTGCAATTGACAAAATGAGCAAAATAGATGCAATTTTGGATAAACAAATATTTCTTCCTAGTCTTTCTGCATATTTCAAAAATTCTCATGTCAACTGTTTATTTTGTGAATGTGCTGTTTCTTGACAGTCCAACATTCTTTCCAAAAATTGTGGCTATTTTTATAGTTATACATGAAAATTTTGCTTTGGTTTGCTTGTAAGTGTTAGCATCACTCTAGGAGGTTCATCTTAACTTCATCGACTGCATTGTAATTTTAATGAATCATCCTATTCAATTTATCAGTTTTCATGTTTAATCAGTATATATAAAAATTCATTTTGGGGGTACTCATGCTAGATTGGTCTTCATTGTCCATTGGCTTGTTGTCATATTTCTCTTTAAATGTCTACTCCATAACTTTGTTTTCTTAACATACCTGAAGAAGTTTTTTATTTTAAATCATCCCAGTGTTGCTTCTTGCATGGACTTTCCAAAATAAACGATGTATCCATGTCAGATATAGTCAGAGTCTGGAGGGCACTTCTACATAATCTTTCCTTTTTGTCTCCTACCTTATTTGATATAAATGAACAGCTAACATACAATATGGATGCCAGTTTCATATCAGACATTACTTAACAATGGCAGCAATTTTTTTTTGCAGGTATACAATGCTAAAATTCAAAAAATATGAACTATTTTGATAGAATACAGTTTTTCCATAGATGTGTCTGCAAGTCCATGTTTTCCCACCTTGCTGAGTCAAATTCTTGGACACGCGTTGGCTTCCAACTCCCACGTCTGTGTCCATGCAATACTTTATCATCCATGCATACTGTAATTTTGCATTTCTCCCTCTCTTGCCTTATATGTCAGGACTGTAATCAGCAGATAACATACTCTAGCTGACCTACACTTGCAAATGCCAAGTTAAATCATCCGTGATCAATGCAGAAAGAAATGGGCTGAACACTCATCCCATATAGGGTTAAGTAAATATCAACAGCCAATCTCCATTGCACAAGGACAAAATTATCACTTTATGTGATAATCTTGGCACATTCACTCTCCCAGAATTTCCCAAAATGGTTCAAGTTTGGCCCCATGGTAATAGATAAAATTTCATGTCTTCTCTGTTCTTGTTTATAGGCTATCATCATCATCATAGCCTTGTCCAACTATTGTGGGCCTTTAAATCATATCTCACTACTTCAACCCATGTACTCTTTCATAATCCTATGATATATAAAATCGTTGAACAATTTTTTCAAGCAGAATAAGCAATTTCCTCTCATGCATTTCCAAGATTGGGGATACCATCTGGTCTCAAATAATTTTCTGACTCTCATCTTCATTATCAGATCAAGTTAAAAGCATCCCATAGGCTTAACTTTACTCGAGTTAAGTGCTTTGAATCAACCCCATATTGTATTATGTTGGTTCGGCTGTCTTAATTTGTATGTTTATCCTTGTTGGATCTTAAGTCATTAGTTATTGGGCCTTAGTTACTGGGCCTAATCTTATTTAGTGTTTATTTGACTAGGTGTCCCTCCACTAATCAGGGGCATTCTGGTCTATTTATGTAACATTATGTAATGTTGTCATATATAATAGATTAGGGCTGGCTGAGAACTAATTCTGCCGCCCATCTCATATCTTCT